GACTTCTGCCAAGCCTAGCTAGGAGTTATTGGATAGATGATTGTTGGATACAAAATTGCAAAATGGAATGCATTGTGATCAGGAACATTTTGAACACAAACTCCAGATGTGTCTGTGATTTTTGTAATCTGATTCTTGGGACCAAGGCAAACTATGAGATAAACATAGGCACAAAATGGTTTACCTTAAACTATATGAGTGTGTATTTTCCAAATGAGATGTTTGACACATTTTTCTCTGCTGATTTCCAATATATAATTTGACTCTTTGCCGATATTTTTTATTGACTATGCCTATCTTTGGAAGATTTTTAGAAAGAATCAAACTGGAGTAATGTGTTTGTCTTGCTCTATATATATGCCCCAGGGAATCTGAGAAATTGGAACGAGTTTAGAAATTTATCAACTGATAATTAATACTCTCGAGGAGTTTTTGTCCACTTTTTGTAAAGGAGTCCAGCTGGCTCTTATCATCTATAGTCTGTCCTTTCATTTCTGAGAATCTCTAAGAAGCAAGCTGTTTATTTTGTTCCTCTGTGACCGTTAAACAACTCTTTACCGTTTTATTCACTGTCCAAATTCTTATAGTTCTGGATCTTGGGATAGAGTTGAAGATGGTGGCAAGGTTTTCTTGGAACAGTTCTAAGGAACTCAAGCATATAAATAGTCAGAATCATAAGTAGAATACTATACTCATAAAAATAATGATAAGGAACTGATTCTGGCTTTGCAGTACTGTATTTATATAGGTAGTGAGAATGATAAAAACTGAAAAGAAAGTATTATGGATGGAATGTTTGTGTCCCCTCCCCCACCACATTCATATGTTGAAACCCTACTCCCCAGTGTGATTGTACTAGGACATGGGGCCTTTAGGAAGTGATTAGGATTAGATGAGATCATAAGGGCGAAGCCCGCATGAGTGGGTTTGGTTCCCTTCTAAGAATCAAAAGATAGCTTGCTTCCTCTCTCAGCTCTTTACCATATGAGGATACAAAGAGAAACTTACAGTCTGCAACCCAGAAGAGGGCTCTCACCAGAACCTGACTATGCTGGCACCCTGATCTCAGACTTTCAGCCTCCAAAACTGTGAAAAATAAATCTTTGTTGTTTATAAACCACCAAGTTGTTGTATTTTGTTATAGTGATACGTTAACACTGTTAAGTGATACTCAAGTTCATGTACTCAATGTGCAATAAGCCGATCACTGAGGCACTGTGCTTGGAGAAGGAGAAAGTTTTATTTGAATTGGCCAAAACAAGAAGGCAGGAGGATAGATTCTCTCAAATCCACCTTAACAAAATAAGAAAATAGGGGCCAGCTTGGTGGTGCATCGGTTAAGTGCGAAAGTTCTGCTTCTCGCCGGCCCAGGGTTTGCCGGTTCAGATCCTGGGTGCGGAGATGGCATTGCTTGGCAAACGCCATGCTGTGGTAGGTGTCCCATGTATAAAATAGAGGAAGATGGGCATAGATGTTAGCTCAGGGCCAGTCTTCCTCAGCAAAAAGAGGAAGATTGGCAGTAGTAGCTCAGGGCTAATCTTCCTCAAAAAAAAAGAAAAGAAGAAAATAGGGGGGGTTTATAGAGCTAAGGAGCTTGGGAGGAGGAGTTTCTGAGAAACAAAGGGGAAACCCATATTCCTTTCACTCCAGATAAGCCCTTGGGCAACCAGACTTCTGAGGAGCAGCAGCAGCTGGGGGCTGGTTATCTGGTGGTGGTAACTTCCTTAAAGGCATTCTTTTTCTTCTGTAAAACAAGCTCATAAATCCTTGTGACCCTTGAGTCACCCCTCAGGTTAAACAAGAAAAGAGCAAATTAATAAGATTAACTTGTTTTCATCTGGGTCTGTTTTGGGAAGACGGTTGAAGAGTAATCACGCTCTCATTGAATATTTTCAGTAACCCTCAGGTACCCAACTTCAACAGCATCCTTAACAGACTAAGACAAAAAGGAGTACAGGTATTTGCCTGTGATTTTACAGATGATTGATGTAAAGTTAACTGGCATTTGCTAAACAAAATATGAAGTCTTAGAATCATAAAATTCAAATGATTCAGAGAGATATGTTTCTACAATATAATTTATATTATAGTCATCCTAAAAAAATCTAGACCTGGATTTTGACAATACTTCCAAATCAAAGTTTATTCCTTATTGTACTAGAATAAGGGAAAGGGAAGTATCTCTTTGACGCTGAATGCTTTATTTCTCTGAGTGCTTTGGCATTCCCCATAGACAAAGTTGGACTTCCTTCTTTTTACCATTTCTTCTCAGGCAGGCCCGTGCTTTGTATCAAAATTCTGCAGCTATAGGAAATTTTCATACCTATATATTACAGAAACATTAAAGTATTTAAGTACCAGAGATTTAGCAGAATGCAAGCAGATCAACAAACAATTCTCATGTTCTTCTTACTACATGTGCTCTATGATCTATTTCTATGGTGAATCACCACATTCTTCTGGGAAGCACATACTGGATTGGGGCATGACTGGTGTTCATTCCTTTAGGAAATTTACTGGGTGTCTACTATATTACATTCTCTGTTCTAACCACTACCTTACAGCAGGGGATAAACAAGTCCCTATTGTCATGCAGCATGCAGTCTGGTGGAACAAGACAGAAAATAAGCAATTGATATTTAGCATGCCAGATGAGTGTTAAGGAGAAAAACAAACCAGTTGCTGGCTATGACAAGCTTTAAAGTGTGAGTGTAGAAATTAATAGCTGAGGTGCAGTGGAGAAAAAGATCATCTGTAAGGGAAGAAATGAGAAGCTAGGCCATTGGCTGTTTCATCCAAAAGATTGTTGGCATCCAAATGGATGAGAAAGTTGATAAGAATAATAGTAAGAGTCTGAACAAAAGGGAAGACTGTCAATCAGAAATTAAATCCTTAATAAATCAGAATATCCATAAACTCAGAAGATGAACACTGGACTAGAAGAAAAAAAGGATGAGACAGCTAGAGAACATATCTTCAAAGGAAGGGTTTTGATTTCTTTGTATTTTGGGAGAATTGTTTAAGGTTTTACCAACCCTGGATCTGGTTATGTTGAGTGAGAATAAAAACCCCAGGCCCATCCCAACTCCTGACAGTGACATCCTTGAGGTTAGAAGAAACAGTCCCCATTTAAGCAGGCTGCAAGAGAAATAATTTCCTCAAGGGACTATCAGGCTCGAGCGTAGTGTGATAGAACAAGGCAGAGCATGTGGATTTAGAGCTTGCACCTTCTGAATACGTACTTAGGAAACACGGCTTAGAATACATGATTATAAGGTTCTTAATGCAGAAGTGTGAAAAACGAACAGCAACTGAACTTCCCACCACACATACTTCCCCCTGCTGAGCAACTCAGAGGATCTTCTTAGCTTATTATTAGGAGCATGATAATTGCCCACATTTGTCAGATCAACTTAGTAAAGTTATCTAACAGTAATGGCAAAATATTTGCTCCAGAACAACAACAAAAAATGGTTGTCCAACTCAGAAGACAAAGCCAATATCGTTGGTTTCCCTTTCTATTTGCGTCTTGTTTCTGTTATTGGTTTGCACAACATTTTGGGATTAGTTGCCTGTTCATTACACATTAAACAAACAGTTTATGTCAAGTATCTTCTTTAAGCTTTAAAATATTTGTCATTAAGTTTGTCAAGTTTATATTATGTTTGAACATACTGAAAGATTCCTAGAATTTTACTGGGTGAGAAGGGAAGCATCAATTGGATTGCTCCAAGGAAAAGTTCTATGCACTAGAAAATTCATTTGTATTGTCATCACAAAATGTGGGGAAGAGAAGCTGGTAATCCATACATTGTCTATTAAAAAGAAGTCAAGTGGATGTTTGATGCTATAAAGTAATTATTGTTAATTTTTACATATGATAATGGTATTGGGTTTTTTTTTAAGTCATCATTCAGAGACATATGGTGATATATTTTTGGAGAAAATGATATGATGTCTACTTTTAAATTAATCCAAGATGGGAGGGCGAGTATAGATAAAACAAGCTTGGCTGCGTGTTGACAATTGAGCTGCTACATGTTGGGGCTGTGTGATGAGTACATAGAAGTCTATTATACTTTCTTTGTATTTTTCTATATGTTTGAAATTTTTCATAACAAATGTGTAACAAACAAACAAAATACATGTTTTTCTGTGAATCCTGGATGAAACATGCTGTTCTTGACATGGTTTGCACAGAACCAATGTTAGCTTAGTTCCACTTTACTCCTCTGTCCTATGCCTTGGAACATAAAATTTGAGCCTCTTATAAATATACATGATTTCTTTTCCCTTTTCCTCATTTTTATCTTTTCTTGGTGTGTGGTAAGAATCTTATTTTAAGGAAACTTCACCATTCTTGAACAAGATAGGGTTATAAAATGAATAGTCTATGGTACAGCAAAATTTTCCAAACCCCCTTTGGGAAAAAAGTCTACCACCTCTTCCATTCACCCCCAAACTACGCTGTTGCACCAGTTTGCCAAAATATGCATAATTTTTCCTCTCTCCGTTGTATCTCAAATCGCCAGAGTAGGAAAGAAATCTAGAGTGAGAAGATTATAGTTGCTCCAACCCATTCTTTCCTAAACAGCTGCACACCTACCAACACGTGCATACACATACCCCGCTACAGCAGTGTCCAGATTTGAACGCTGCAGGCTGACGATTGGCCCTGACAAGCTCCCACTGGGGCAGCTAGGACAGGGGAGAGAGAAAGCAGCTGGAGGTAAACACCTGAGTTTGCTGCGTTCCTCTCCTCCTTTTCTACCTCCTGTTCCCAGCCTGCCCTTCCCCGCCTTCTCTCCCTTCCTTCAGGCCCTCGCAGTCCTCTCCCGGCTCCCCCTCCTCACCATTCTGCTCCTCTCGCCCCCTCCTTTTCCAGGCAGCTGGTAGAGGAGGCTCCGCAGCAGCTGCTGTTCCTGCGGCTGCAGCCGGGGCTGCAGGTCTCTGTCAACATCACCCCGCCCACGCCTGGTCTGGATGCTCGAGCCGCGCACTGGGCCGGGCATGAGGGCGGGGGAGAAGGTGGCGTGGCTGGGAGAGTGGAAGGAGGAGTGGGAAGGGCACAAAACCAGCTTCCCAGAGGCGGCTCGACTCCACTGCGCATCTGGGCAGGAGGGGTCTCTGGGTCAGTAGCTGGGAGGCCGCCCCAGAGACTTAGTTTCCAGCTGGCAATTCAGTGGGACCTGTTTACTGGCGCGCTGGCGTGGCCTGGGTGGCATCAGTTGGTGAGGGCAGACGCCAGCCTAGCGACACCTCCTAAGCAACCAGAGCTCAGGAAGCCAGAGAGATCCGGGAAGAAAGAGAAGCCCAGGAGGAGAAAGGGGCTCTAGGGAGCCCAGCTTCTCAGAGTTCCCTCAGGTGCTGGTGGAGACCCGTTACATGGTCGCAAGTAAGTGCCTTTTTCTTGCTGTGCGCCCAGCCCAGGATGGTGATAGGCACCATCTGCTGCCAGTCTTTCCCACCCACCCTCGCTGGCCCCACTCCATACGCACCCTTAGGGTGTCCAGCAGGAGGTTAAGATTCTAGACCTGAATTAAGAGAGCTGCTTCAAGAGCTGCAGTGGTTTGTGGATGTTTGCTCTGCACTGTACGCGTGGTCAGTTTTCTCATCCCACCAGGTAAGCTTCTGAAACCTAAATGCCCTGTTAGTGTAAAATTTCTAGAAATCCTATATGGCAATGACTGTTAGGTTACATGACACAATGATAGACTAGAAAGGAATAAAAGCTCATGGAGGGTGGAGTATATTTCTTCTAAGGAATCCTGTCTTTTATTCTAAGTTAACTTAGAGATTTGAAAATTGGTGCTTTTCATGTAAGAATCAATGGTATGAAATTAGAGGCATAGATGTGATGGGCAATGGTGTGCCCAGTTTAAATGTATGGACACTTAGGGATTGTTTGGATCAAGAAGTTTTTTGTTTTTGTGTTTGTTTTGCATTGTTTAGCTCTGTTAAGTGCATACCTTCTGGAGGTTTTCTTTTAGACGCGGTGATGTGTTCATTGTGACTCTGGTTATGTGTTGCCTGCGTTACTTAGGATCTCTCTTGAAGTAGGCTAAATGATGAATACATGTGGAATGACGCACTGATGAGCTCCCTTCATTAATGAAAATGATAGAGTCAAGTTGGATATTGGCCAGAAAAATCTCTTGAAATGTGGACGAGTTTAGGTGGTCTTTTTGTGGATATTTTTCTTCCTGGCTATTATTCAGGAGAGTAGTTTATGGCAAAATAGACGGAAGCTGGGCCCTGTAATAAACAGTCCTGGGCATGATATCTGCTATGACCAGCCCTAATTAAAGTTTTTATAATCCAGCTGCAAGGCCCATAAGGAGTAATTTGATGAGGTTACCTGGCTCATCAATGATGAGCTGGAAGTCCAATGGAGAAGATTTTGGGATTAGAATGATACAACTTGATTCCCATTTCTGTGAAAATGAAGCAAGTTATTTAACTTTTGATGAAGCTTTATTTTTCTTATTTGTAAATGACACATCAAAAAGTTACGTATCCTGGTAAGGACTAAAGGACGGAGATTACTTGAAGAGTTTTGTGAAGGTAATATCGTGTGTAACTGTTGCTTGTATAAGGAATTGTTCTGTGTTTTTATCCACTTCACTATTCTAATTCTTATTTTAAGTCTAGTTCAATATAAGAATAAAAGGACTTTGACAGCCCTCGCTAGAATGCACTAGAGGAGGTGAAATTCAAGTCCAGATCATGATCTCTTGCCACCTGTACAGTTTAAAGTATATTCTAACCTGTGAGCCTCCATCCTTGAAAAATTGTGTGCTTTGGCTAACCATTTATATTTAAAGACCTTTGAATATTCTCAAAATATGCTTTACCCTCTTTCTCTTTTTAGCTTTGAATTTTGTTTTAGGTATGTGGTCTTACTTCCTTGGGCTGGAACCATCAAATATATTGGACATTGCTGAATTTATTTGGTCCATTAATTAATAAAGGAGAAATCAAAATTTAGGCATAAATACTCTACTCTTGACTGCTGGGATTCATTAAAATCCAGCACTGGGCGAGAGGTACTGTGAGCTCCTTCTTTCCCATTGATGTATTTAAAACAATAGGAGAAAAACCTGAAATTGGACGCAGGCTCAAGAAAAGAGACCAATGGATCCCAGATATCATGGGTAGGCCCCAGGACCTGCTGCCACATATCAGTCTCCCCTGGAGAGCGGGAGGTAGAGCCAGGCACTTCGGAACTGGGCATTCTGTCTCTAGCCTCTTGTGAGAGGCTCCGGGAGGGTAGTGCTGTAGGCTCCCACTAATTTTGTCCAGGTAGGATGAATACAGATCTAAAGCACCCTGGAAATGGAAATAACAGGATTTTGCTCCATCCTTCACTTAGGGAAGAAGAACCCTAATACACCCCAGCCCTAGATCTCATTCCGACAGGATCTGTGCCACAGCTGGGAGAGTCAGAGACTGAACCACAACCCTATACCTACCACCAAAGACTCTTTCTTGAAATCTTATCATGGGAGCATTAGCATAAAAGAGATATTCTTGATTTCTGGAAGTCTGGTTCCATTATTCCTGCTAACCAGTATCAGGATTCAACAGTTGTGAGAGGACATCTGTAAACCCTGCCCACCCTGACTAGCTGTTAGCAATGCACAGTCACCCACTGTCCTATGACACCAACTTGGACAGACAGATCTCATTTTTCCCTGAGTTGGTCTCCTTCTCTTCTTTTAGCGTGGGCTAACCTAGACCAGACAAGCAAGGTCTCACTTCTGCAACACTAAAAGATGCAGCTTTTAGGGCTGGCCCGGTGCCTGAGTGGTTAGGTTCGCACGCTCCATGTTGGCAGCCCAGGGTTTTGCCAATTCAGATCCTGGGTGCAGACATGGCATCGCTTATCAGGCCATGCTGAGGCGGCATCCCACATAGCACAACCAGAAGGACCTACAACTAGAATATACAACTATGTACTGAGGGGCTTTGGGGGGGAAGAAGGAAAAAAAAAGAAGTTTGGCAACAGTTGTTAGCCCAGGTGCCAATCTTTAAAAAAAAAGATGGAACTTTTAAGGCTGAAGAGAAAGTTCTCATCCGAAGGCTTCAAGGGATGTTTTTTAGCTGGTCCATATCTCTTGGCTCACCTGGAATTATGATTTCCATGTATTTGTTCAATCACTGCTATTTATAAACCAGGCTTATTCTGGTTATACTCCACGCTGGCGGGGGAGCCCCATTGGTCCAGCAAACAGATATTCTAATTCTATACACAGTATTTGTGACTGGATGGACTGGGCCTGTTGTTGGCTGAGGATAACCTGCTCTGTGGACACCTTTGATTGTGGCAGCAGCCAGGTGCCAGACTGACTGCATCAGCATCAAACAAGAGCTTGACAAAGATGCTGAAGCTGGGCCCCCACCCAGGGAAATTCTGATTTTTAAAGTCTGAGATTAGGGCAACACGTTTCGTTTTAAACTAGAACATCAGAGGATGCCGATTTGGAGGCCATAATCCCTGGTTGAATATATGGTGTTGAGTAGAATATTCCTTTCCTTCTGCTTTACAGGCCAGAGTGAGGCTCCCAGTCCACCAGCCTCTCATTCTCTGAATTCTTACAGAGGCTGCACGGTATAAGCACCTGGTCACAGGCTGTAACTTTGGCTCAGGTCCATATCTAGTCTCGCCCTAATATGTTTCAAGGCTCCTCTCTAGTTGCTCTCCAATGTGAGAAGGGATTGGGTATCTATGTGTTGGTTCCACGTTTGAAAAGCTAGAGTAGTTTTGCGGGGTGGGTGTAGATCCTGGAAAAGCAGACCAACTCTTAAAGAGTGCTCAGGAGCAGAGGTAAATAGCCAGTTCTAAGAGACCTCCAGGGTTCCAGTGAACGTGCCAGTTCTGGAATTCTTTAAAAATTTTGTGTTCCACGGATCCAGTGGCATATAAAACCATGGGCCAAAGGTCTCACAATTGCTGATGAGTATAGAAGTTTCGTGCATAACAAGCTCGCCTTTGTATTTCTGTAGCAGGGGCAAGAATACATTCCTCCCTCTTGAGCTCTTAAATGGCCTCTGGCCAGATTCTTCTGGTCAGGGGTCTGACTGACTAGGCTGACAAGAACAGTTAGTTCTGGAAAGATTGTGGCCTTTCCCCAACATCGTTGTTTTGGTGAGCTGGACAGGCATAGCTTCGAAGTTGTTCTTATATCCATAGAAACAAGGGACCCTGCTAGTGAACCTTGAGGTTGCCATAGAGAAGCTCAAGCAGGCATACTTAAAACTGAGGCAGCTTTCCTTCAGTTTTCTGGAACCCTTCCCTGCCATCATTGCCTAACCAGCCATAGTGGGTCACCCTGGTGAGACTCCACTCCCACAGAGACATACTGTCCTGCATCCCCTCAAGGTGTTCAGACATCCCCTGGGCTTTCCTTGGGCTCTTCTTGTAAATGAATTTGAGGCCAGGTGCTAAGGCTTTGTCATATGACATTTTTGTCCAGATTTCTTCTCCTCAGTTTAAGTGGTACCTCTCTGAATGTGTGTGACCTGCACCCCTCTTCCCTGGAAAGAAGATACTTGCAAAGACCAGAGCTCCTGATTACTTTGATGAACCAGCCCCAGAATCCAAGTTTACCAGATTTGGGAAGGAGTTCGGTTCTCAAAAGAGAAGAGATAGTACCTGTCCCTTTGAATTTTTGCTGGTGCTCATTTATTTACAAGGCTGTGTTTCTAGTTTTTGAATCCAGAAGAAGGCCTGGATTAAAATTTTAAGAAATATAATCAAAACAAAACAACAATGCATATTTATGTTTTTGAGAAAGTTACTTATTTACATTTTTCCTCTGCAAGATGCCATACTAGGAATGTGGTGTCTGAAATTGTCAGAGTGAGGGAGTTGAGTCCAAAATTAAGTGGCTATATTGAAGCCCAAATAGGCTGACCTGAGAGCAGAACACGGCTACAGGCAGAATTCAGATAGAGGGACAAAGGAGAAGAAGTCAGTTAAGCCAGGCGAGATAACTGTATGCCAGGGAGAAGTAAAAGAGTGGGAGTCAGATAACCAAAGCTGAACAGGAGGCGAGCAGCTTAAGTGGGAAAATCATCCAAAAGCAGAAAGCCAAGTAGGCTGAAGTCAAGGGGAACAGACAGCTGCAAAATTCCAGGTGGATTGGTGTCATTCTGGTTGATATGTCCTTCATTCCCAAGACTTCAGTGTATAAAGCTTCCATTTCTAGATTTTAGTAATACATGTACATGGTAAATTATGGTCAAGTAGCATAGAAATATTAACCAGAAAGCGACAGAATCGCCTGACTCCTCTTCAGTCCCTCGCCATAAATGTAGCAGTTTACTTCCTTCCACAGGGGAATCATTATGCATGCGCTGGCATATGTAGCGTTATGTATATAATGCTTACAA